TAAATGTTCGATTACTTATTGAGCATAATTGAATAATATGTTCTAATTGAAATGTTTCATTTTGTAAAATAAATGTTAATAATTTTGAAAATGGATCAAAAACACGTCTCACATTTGCTAATATAGAACTTGAAGTATGCTCATCATAATACGAAGTATGGAAGTTAAACCATAATTAATTGGTGTACTAGATTTAATTGTTGTATAAATACGTGTTAATTTATCAAATACAAAATCAAATTCAAGAAATACACTTGTCCATAATTGAATAGGTGAATCAATCGAAATATATTCCATAAATTGTGCGATATTACTGAGTAATGTTGTAGAAATGTCAAGAGAAAGACATTTTTGTTCATTTATATCCTATAATAAATAATAATTAAATTTTGTTTTGAAATAAATTATCAAATATTCAAGAGTTTAAAATGCAAAAAATGATTTCATTTCTCGCCTTCTTAAACTTCTATATGCGTGATATGACATTTTCGAGAAAAAAAAATTTATATTAGGAAGCCATTTAGGTGCAATAATTGAATTAAATTCTGGAAAATCATTCCATGATAAAGCAACTGTATGTAATGATTTTTCATCTAAAACAAAAAAGTTTCCTTATTCAAGGTTTTATTTATATCAGAATCAAACCCTGAAAATTTTGTTGAAAACATTGATAAGAAATATTATCTGCAACTTATTGTTGAAATGCACAATGAATAAATTGTTGTGCAGTACTAGTTGAATTAGCCAGTGCAACAACAGTTGAATTTTCTTGCCATGCGTATCTATGAGATGCAGCAACTCTTCCAATTGTTTCAATGATATCCATAAGTAATAGAGCTGTAATAGCTGGTTCATGATGAACAAGTGTTCCACATACTATTATACAATAACTAATACATTCAATAGGTTGTCTACATTTATCACATTTCAGCACAGCTCTAAATTGATTATGTGTATCTGTATCAGCATATGGATTATCTAATTCATCATTGGTTACTGTTGTTACTCGCTCAGTACTGATGATGTTATACGACTAGTTTTTAAATGACCTTGTGACAGTGGTGTACGTGTTGATCCACTGCAGAAATAAAAAAATAGTTAATTAAACAAAAAAGTTTTATGAGCCTTAACGTTGGTAATTGAACATTTGAATCATCTTTATATTTGCTTTTTTTACTATAATAATTTGGTTTTAATTTTCCATCAGTTGGTGTACCACGCAAACTAGCTAAAGTAGATGATGATAATGGTGTTACTTTAGGAATTTTTAGTGGACTTTCTTCTGTAAGAAAAGTCAAAGAATAAAATTTATTCATGGCTATTTGGGTTTAAATTAACCTTTAGTTCTATGCTATCAGGCTTAAGTGAAACAATATCAAGTTTACCACGTTCATCTGAATAAACAATATGTGAAAGTTCTTTCGTTCCTATGAACATATTTATTTTCTTTTTTAAATTGGTCGAAGTAATTATTACTTTTGATATCTTTCACATCGAGTTCAGTTAATTTTTCTGTTGGAATCATTAATGATGATTGTCCTATTCTAGTTGATGTACTAGGATTAACACCAGCTGTACTTATTGTTCTATTACCAGTAAGAAGACTTTTTTAAAATCCTGTATATGATCGACCAGCTGAACCAACATTTTTCTCTCTTTGTCGAATAGATAATGGTTAGAAATTGTTTTTATTTTTGATTGAAAAAGATATAATATTCAATGACTTTTATTTAATACTGAGAAAAAGAGCAATTGATCAAGAAAGAAAGTTGCTTTTTTTATTTTTTGACTGAAAAAGATTTAATATTAAATGAATAAAAGTTATTGGAAACCAGTTGGACGTCTTCATGTAATGAATAGTTCAATATAGACGAAATTGAATCTGAGGAATACTTTTGTCAGAAATACATATTATGGTGACATCTATAATATATTCTTTGAAAAAAGAGTTATTAATATATATTGTCAAAACTATAAAATAAAATGTTCATTGTATCCGCATTTTTTTATCATACATACTTCACTTATATTTTTTTCGTATAAACAAAGGATTGAATATGATATATAAAGTCTATCTGAACAGTTTATTAAGCCATTATCATTATATTTAAATTCGAATAAGGTCGTCAAGTGCATCTGCTGATATTAGCTTGATTTTCTTTACACAAAAACATAATATTTCATTAAATTATTAAGGTAAATAAAATGTATGCATTTTCATTAGTTATTTTAATACATCAGTTCCTGTCTCTATCAATCTTTGTTATGTCTTTTCTTCAAGAGAAATTCATCATCTCAGTTAGCCAATTATGCTCTTTTCAAATAGTATCCTGAATTTGATTCGTTTCTCAAACTGAGATTATATCCGAATTTAACTTTTCAATCAACTATATTTTTTAACGCGTCTTAATGTTTCTAGTGAAGACATGATCATATTCTTTTTTTATTGTAAACTAGTATCTTTTCATAATGACTGATGAACGACCAATACAAACAACCAGTACACTGCATGGTGATAATCCTCAAGTAAGCTAATAACTCTTTATGAAATAATCTTATAAGACCTTAACTAAATTTTAATGTTAATCTTTTATTACAGAATCATCCAAATGCATCAGTTGGTATTTCTGTATTACTTGAACGGATCAGTGTACTTCGAAATGATAACATTACTTTACAAGAACAAATAGTACAAAATGTGTTACAATTTCAACAACAAGAAAAACAGACCGATGAAATATTAGAAAAAACTCTTCGTCATTTATCAATGACAAATGATAATTTGACCATTGAAAATAATAATTTGAAAGAAGAAGTATCTAATTTAAAACACCAAATGAATCGTCTTATTGAAGATAAAAATCAATTACAAAAAGAAAATAATATATTAAAACAACAAGTTAATGATTTACAATGAAACAAGAATTTTCCTCATGAGGAGACGAAAAAGAACTTAAATTAGTCAAAGAAGAATTTGTTGTTTTGAAAAAAATAGTTGAAAGAAATAAATTGATACTTCATGTTGGAATTAATATGTTTGTTGTTCTAATCCACCTGTATACTATAATTCGTTTTATTCTTTTACAATCATTGATTGTATTTCTTTTTTTTCTTATTGTTGTCTTTGTCAAAATAAATGATGTTATGATGAGGAATATATGATTGATTCTTGAATCAGAAGTGTACTAGTTTCATCTCATGTTTTTGATGGAATATGAGGTAACATATTTTGATTTACACGAATAAAATATACAAATAGAACTATTTGTCACGCCAATTGTTTCCAAGCAAATATCCAAATTAGATTTATTGAACAATGAATAATATGTCGAATGAAGCTTGTTATTTTGTTTCATACAAAATAATAGTCTGGGTGAATAATAATAATAATAATAATAATATAAAAAATAAAGATAATTAAAGATTTCTTCCACTACATGCACATCAACGGTTGTCAAAGGACCCCGCCGGATAAGGGCCAAAATCTGGCTCCCCTGGATTGAACTCTAATATATACTACATGAAAGGGCACAAGTTACTGTACATTTCTGCATATTTGGTTTGGGGGTTTCATACTCGTAAGATATGGATTACAATGGAAGATTTGATTTCTGATGGGATGAGTATTCTCACACATAAGGAGTCATCAAAATTTTTTTATTATTTTATTCATTTGAACGATAGTCACTAGGTTTGATGTGAGTGTTATTCCTCTATCAAAGAGCTCTGGTATCGATATCATATACTGCTTTTAATAAATAGAATCATAGACAACAAGATGTAGATTATGTGGTCATGCAATATTTATGATTTTGGAAAAATCGTAATTTCTTCCCAAGGACTCATTGAACAAACTTGAGACTTTCTAGAAAACTGCTCTCACATATCCACTACTAAGTGCACTAATCAGATTAAAAAAAAGATAAGTGCCGAAAATAGAGCCAAGCGATACACCATCGATATATACCGTTTTTGACATTTCTGACTGAATCTTTTTTTTTTTTTTACATTTTTTCACTTCGAATCAAATTAGAACAAGATGATTCATCCTTAGTACGTAGTCCTTAGTCGAATACACTTTGATTTCAGTCAACAATGAGATCAATTCTATGTCTTCGTAGCGTATTGTTCATTTTGTGAAATCATACATCGACTGAAGTAGTGCATTGTGGGTCGATCGAGAGCATATTGTAGCACGTTAACCGGAGCATTATCTAGAATTTCGCGCTTTGATTTCATTTTCGAATAAGAAGGTCATTCCAAGGCACTTCATCGATGTTCTCATAAGATTCAGATCGCATTTTAAAAAATCTAGTTCGGAATTTATGGCTATGGTCTCGTACTTTATATGTTTATTCCAAGTTTGTGCATTATACTTTTATACACGCAAGTTCCTCTCTTTTTCTTCCTTACTCTCAAACAAAGATTGTGCGTTGATTATTCTACGTCATGTAGACCATTTTATCAAATTCCATACTGTTTTTTTGTGTATCGTATTCATTGTTATGTGCTCTTTCTCTGCCAGTGCGCAAGCAAAGTGATAACGAGTAAGGATGGGGTACTGTTTGTCTTCGGTTCTGTTTTTAAATTAAGTCAGAGTATACTATTACCTACGATTCTCAACTTGCTGCAAGATGCCCAAGGTGAAATGCGTATTATGTCAGAAATGGAATAATCCATCACAATGTCGATCGTTGTCTTCATCTTCCTATGCTTGGTTTCATGAATTTCTCAAAGAAAAAGGTACTTCTGTTGACAAGAATAATTTATTTCTGTGCTCATCTTGTGTGAAAGACTTTTATGAATTGAAAGCGTCTCGTATCGAATCTGGTATTTCTGTCACGCCGGACAGTGATGATGTCGAGCCAATGGACACAATAACAAGCGAAAATGATAATGAATTGGCATTAGACAATGTGATTTATGCTGGATCCAGCCAGAGTATTTGATCGATGTGAAGCTAGCACGACGGCCAATCAGCATCGACTTCCCACTCGACCAATCGGAGCACGAGCATAATTTACCATCCCACGTCCATAAATTACCACAACAAACTTTCTTAGCAACCAACTACTTTTCCAACCATCCAAACACCACTGATCGTCTTTTCGAAATATATCATCAAAACTTTATGCAGCACACAAAAAAATTATCAGTTCAATCAACTCCAACAAAAAAACAAAAAACTAATGCAAAAACCAACATTTCCATGATACGGCTCCTCGCCCGAGCATGACTTACACATCATCTTATAGAGAATTTAATTCTGCATCGATTGATGTATAACTCATATTCCGATTCCATTTTTATATAGATGATATATGGTCAATTATGAGTATACTGCCACAAAATTTCGAAAAAGTGTTGCAAAAACCTCAAAGATCTTGTCCATATGGTTCATCTCTCGTACATAGGTTATGCGTCATCTTGTAGAGAATTTAATTCTGCATCAATTGATACAAAACTCATATTCAGATTCCATTTTTATATAGGTGATACATGGTCAATTATGACTATACTCCCACAAGATTTCGAAAAAGTGTTGCAAAAACCTCCAAGATATTGTCCATATGGTTCATCTCCCGTACATAGATCGTACGTCATCTTGTAGAGAATTTAATTCTGCATCGATTGATACATAACTCATATTCAGATTCCATTTTTATATAGGTGACACATGGTCAATTCTTACTTCACTCCGACAAAAATTGGAAAAAGTGTTGCAAAAACCTCAAAGATTTCTCGATATGGTTCATCTCCCGTACATCGGTTATATATCATCTTGTAGAGAATTTAATTCTGCATCGATTAATGTATAACTCATATTCAGATTCCATTTTATATAGGTGATATACGATCAATTATGGGTATAATTATCGAAAAATGGGAAAAAATTTAAAAAAATTAATAAATTGCTGACGCTAGGGTCGAATGTCCGGAGGTAACAGATGCACATAGTGGTATTGTAGGAAACGCTGGATCGAATCATGTAATCCTCTTTTTATTTTCTGATGTGGAATGTAGTTAGAAATCGTAAATTGTTAGGTGAGTTAAACAAGTAAAAATTTTGGTATACAATGTGAAAAATGATTTAACTTTTCTGGATTCATATGGATGAAGTTGGAGAGGGATATTAGTGAATCAGAATTGGAAAGGATTTGTATGTGGTTTGCATGATTTGATGTTACTATATAGGCCATAGTTTCGAGACAGATTTATTCTATATGGGATTTTGGTGGATATTGTATTTTAAGTCGGACTCGCCTGGTACGTGTTTCCGTTGCGGAGAACTCTGTTGCGGACAGATGAGATGAAAATGAAATGTTATATGAGATGGGAAGTAATTTGGCTATGCACTGAGTTTGATTCATGCCTGGTGTTTTGCAATCTGTATGTAATTTTCTGGTGTGGGATAAATATTGCTGAAATCGTGGGTTCTGGTTAGAGTAGGATGGATTTCCACTACTTCTGTGGCTTTGTGCGAGTGAGTAAATTCTGGTTTTTCTTGAATGATGTAGCGTTTGTGATAGCTGGAAACTGCTCGCTTATCACTTCGTTTAGAGTTTTTATGGGGATGGTTATATGATTGTTTGTTAGGAGAAGTTAATGCATACGTTTGAGTCATGGACCGTTTTACATGTTTGAATGTCTAGGAGCAGGCTATGGGTTGTTTGGATAGGTTAGATATGTGTTTAGTGTAGGTGATATGCAGTTATTCTTTTGACTTTTTATTTTTTTCATGATCTGATCTATGTTTCGGTGTTGTGTTTGGTTTATTTGGGCTCAGTCTTTTTTTTGTAGTGGAACGTGAAAATGATATAGTATGTTAGGATTGTGTATGATGCCAGTTTTAACATTTGCTTTTTATTTATTTTATTTTATTTTATTCAAAATGAAAAGAGTCGTTGTTGCTATTCAGTTTTCTTTTTTTTTGATGTTTTTTTTGTTGTTTTTTGATGCGGTGTTTTGTGTTTGGGGGGATGTCTTTGTCGGATATCTAGAGATCAGAATTGAGACCACGTTATATGACATATGAAAATGACTTATACTCACATCTGATATACTATCATCGAAGATTGATTCTGGTTACCGAAGTATTTCTTCAGCTATTTGATGTCTATATAAGTTGATTTCGTCTTGAGGTATAGCTTTATGTTGTTCACGGTTAATATATGCTTTAGCTTGTGTTAAAAGATGGACTCCACATGAATGTTGATCATTTTGATATAAGTCGAATTCTTCACTTGGTTCACACAGTTTCCAACCATTGTCAAAATCTATGTTAGCTTTGTTCTTCAAAAAATAGTGAATGTTTATTATATGTATGAGACGTTGAAGGTTCTGTCGGCGTGGAATATGGTGGGTGTGGGTGTGGGTGGGTGGGTGTGTGGGTGTGGGTGTGGGTGGGTGTGGGTGTGGGTGTGGGTGGGTGTGGGTGTGGGTGTGGGTGGGTGTGGGTGTGGGTGTGGGTGTGGGTGTGGGTGTGGGTGTGAGTGTGGGTGTGGGTGTGTGGGTGTGAGTGTGGGTGTGGCTAAAGTGAAGATCAACATCCAAACCCACATCCACACCCACACCCACACCCCACACCCACCCTCCATGTATTTAACATAAACTTCATTTTATTTTATTTGTCATGTCCTGCGTCATTCAACTATATACGAGAACATTAATCATACATAGTAGAAAAAAAAAAGAAGAAAAATAACAAGAAATTGCACAGATTCATTAATATAAGATCAAATAAACACAGATAGAGGCATAAACTAACTTCGTCATGATAATGGCCATCACATTGATTTGACATTCTAGAAACAAAGAAAGTTTAAATATCCTGGTATTCACTCGAATAAAGAAATATTTACTTTATTTTTAACTTCAGCTTGTTTTAACATCATGAGAATGGTATCGACGTTATCACACAGTTGATTCAATCGAGCATCTAAGTTATCTAATCGCTTTTGGAAAACTTTTGTAGTTTTATTTAGATACATTTCATTCGCATTAAGACGAGTATCAATCGTATTGAAACGAGTATCAATGGTATTGAAACGAGTATCAATCGTATTGAAACGAGTATCAGCAAATGTTTCAACAACATCAAGATGAGTATTGATCGTTGTAATAGAACGATCCACTCGTTTATAATTCTTTTCTAGTGCAGCCAATCTTTGACCCATCATGATGTTCTGATCGAGAGAAAAAAGAAGTAAATAGTTTTATTCAAAATGACAAGACAAGAAAAGAAAACTGCACATAATCGAATATCATCTTTTATTACCCAGAAGGAGCCATTTCGATCCCAATGGATAAGATAGTACACTAATCCGTTGTTCTAGTCAACATGAACAGTGCAAGACTCTTTTATGCTCAAAAAAGTTCTTATAGAATTTCGAAGCTTGACTCAATATAGCGTATCGTGCTCATCTATTCTATGAATTTTTTCTGGAAGAGACTAAGACATTGTATGAAAACAAGGACTACAAAGTCGAAATTCCTTTTTCTTCGTCATAAATTGTTGTCCATTCGTTTTCATTCATCGATGAAAGCAATTCATTCATTATCAAGAGATCGTTTTTTCATTCAATAATGCTTTCAATCGTTCACACCTCTTGTTAGCGGTTGTCCTTTTGGATCAACGCTAAGTTCGTTCTCTTTTCTTTAACGAAAAAAAGTATGTATATGTGTGTGTGTATACGTACACTTGCACACCGTCTTTTATTTTATCTGTTTTAAATAATGGAAAACACGTACATATATAGTGAGCGACAAAAAAAGGAAAAAGAAGAGAGAGAGAGAGAAAAGAAAAGAAAGAGAACAGGAACTAGATGTATGGATAGTAAAAGAGAAGACTAGATGTATCACCGAGAAAGAAATAGAAAACGAAATGAAAAAAGAAAATAAAAATGAAGATAGATGGCGAGTTGTAACAGTGCGACATCACTGTAACACCTCTCTTTTTATAACCTAACGAACATCTTTCACTCATTCTCTCCCTCTTTGTTCAATTGTTTGAATGAACGAATCGGACGGTGACTTCATCTATTCACATAGATGAACTTGCACGGCAATTAATTATGTAGACGAAAAGAGAAAAAAAATCATTTTTGATGCCAAATTATCAAGTTTATGATTGATTATTCTAATGAAAGGAAAAAGAAAAGGAGAAATGTCATGGTTGCTCACAAAGTGACAGTCTCAACTTCCAACATGCACTGATTACTGTCTAGTAGTATCCTTACCAAATATTGTTCATTAGCTTCTTCTTCTTCATCTTTTTGTGCTGCTGCTGCTGATGTACGTTCAGTTAATTTTGAACTAGGGTGTGTGGGTGTGGGTGTGGGTGTCAGTACTATATTCGTCCACATCCACACCCACACCCACATCCTGTTGCGAATAGAACTTTCATTTAATCTTCTGTTAGAAATGCCTGATAAAGCTAGTGAGGCGATTGATATAGAAGTCTATTCTCAGCCAACAATACGAGAACGAAATGAACGACACTGTTGTTGTAGTTTGACGATTAAAGATTTAATTAGAATCTGTTCTACTGTTGTTATTCCTCTGATTTTTGGCTTGTTTACTGTTGTTATTACTATCTATCAACAACGCATTGCTTAGCTTCAACGAGCACAAGATCTCGAAATTGCACAACGACAACGAGTGCATGATATTGAATTGGCTCAACAACAACGAACTGATGATCGAAAACAGGCCGAAGTGAGTTTGATTGTTTCAAAACTTGCAGATAGTATATATTTGAATTGAAAATTCTTGAAATCTGTTAAATCTGCTTCTCTGGTCCTATACAGGATATTTTGAGCTTTCAAACTTACTTATAAACAAAAACGTTCAATGTAAATTGTAAAAATAGCATCGATTCAGAAAAGTTGGAGTAACGCATGATGCTTATATATCTTATTGGCAAGTAAAATCGAATATAGAATAGTTGCTCGGAGACTTGTCTTTCTAGAAGCGAAAACTGCAGATCTCTATCTCGTTCCTATGCAAAATTATTCAAATAATGACAATTTGTCTTGTATTTTAAATGGGATAATAGTTTTCATTGATATTGCATGGTAGTTGTTTAGTTATTCATGTATGAGTATAATATTTCACTGAGAAAAAATCATTTTTTTTTATTTGCATAGCTCTTACGAAAACAAGATCTAGAACTTGCCGAACGTCGACGAGAACAGGAACTCAATATTTCCATCGCTCAGGCACTTGCCGCTGATCGTCAATACCAACATGACCTTTTGCTAGCCGGCAATCTTCAAAAAGAATCAGTTCTCGTTAGTTTTTTGAAAGAAATGGCTGATCTACTTAGCAAAAACAATTTCACTCTCAATAAATATGCTCGAGTGAGCATTGTTCGACCTAAAACTCTTTCTGCTCTTCGTCAACTTGATTCTCGTCGAAAGACACATCTCATTCGATTCTTATACGAATCAGAATTAATTATCAGTGGTAAAAACCAGTTGGATCTAACTGATGCCGATTTGGATGGTACTGACCTCTCTTTTCTTAATCTTAACTTTATTTCTCTAAAATCGGTACACATGCGCCATGCTTTACTCATTAGAGTTAATCTAGGTTTCGCTGATCTCAGCCAAAGTCTTCTTACAGGTACTAATTTCAGTGGAACTGTAATGTATGTCGGCACTAAATTTCATGAGGCACAAGCAGAATATGCTGATTTTAGTGACATCAAATAGGTTAAACTCAATATGAATGGAATTGATGCACATGGAGCATCATTTCGATTCGCCAGCTTAAATCAAGCTACTTTTCATGATGCACATCTCGAATATACGGCCTTTAAAGGTGCTTCTATGCCTGATGCTGATTTCTATCGTGCTAATCTGAAAAATTCGACTATCACTCCGTTGCAAATACAAGAGGCCTTGGTATTTGAAGGATCAGTATTGCCCAATTTTAATATTGATGATCATAAGAATATAATTATGAATGGGAATGCCGAAATCGAGAACGGACAATATGAATGTTCAGTCAATTTAAACAGGCCTATTTTTGCATTGAATTGGGATCGCGTGCAAAGTGAGTGACTTTTTGTGATTAATACTTGCACAAAATCTATATGATGTTCATACTGCGTTGAAGATAAAACTTCTTCTAAAAACAAAATTTCAATTTTAATTTTTCTATTCTCTGAATAAGGCTTACAAATACAATCTGCTAAGATCTTCTTTTTTTTTGACAAAATATAAATTTTCTGAAATTATATGTCATTGATAAAACAATGCTATGCAGTTTATTAAAAGTAGAAATAACAAAGGAATGAATAAATTTCACTTTTAATGATTAGAAACTCGAATCTCAATTTTACACATTTTACAGTAATGAAGATAATAGCATATTATCGAATTAAATCAATGGACAGAATGAACTTTAAGATAAATGATGAGTACACTAAAGAGAATGAGCTTAGTACACATTCAAACGATATGGGGTTCAGAAGTGGAAGCTCAACTTTTCTTTCTTCCAAGTGAAGATAGAATCAAGATCTGATCTCATGCCGCCAGTTTTTCATCAAAAACCAACGGTTAGAACGCTTGTCACAATATATTATGTCAGATGGCGTCATATTTAATAAATAATCAAACTTGAAAACTAAGCGACAACAGCCGATGCGGTTGATATCGGTCATTTAAGCGCGTTTTCGACTGAAATCTCCCATTTTTCTAAGAGTTTAGAAGTATTCATGCGCTGCGATACAAAAAAAATTAAGCAGAAGAACCACGGTTAACCAGGAGTTTGAACGACATGGCAGTAGATTTCGCTCGATTTCAATCAAATAAAAGCGAGTTTATTGATTTTCGTGAAGTCAAATCTAAGAGACACATATAATTCCAAAATATTTGAAAAGGATTCAGGTAGACATTTGGAACGAAACATTTTTTATTTTATTCTAAAGATGCTTTGTGAGTATGATGACTGATATGGTCTTCAAAGAAGTAAAAGTTAGACTCATCTTCAAATGCATCTACTTTACAATTCATTAAAATAGTGTCACAATGAACAATTAGGTTTAGTTTGATTGTTATATACGATCGTAAACTACAATATTCTTACGGGAACTAGATGTTGTTTTTTGAAAATTTTCGTGAATATTCATAACACTTGTCTTTCAAAAGATGAAACATACCTGCGTCAAAACCATAAAAGATCGGAAAATTTGACAAAAAACTGTGTTTCAATTATTTATTCTTTTTCCATAATACAAATTCTTACCCTCTGAAAATTCGAACATCTATAAAACTCTAGAAGTCTACAGAGTTTTCATAGAAATAAGGGTGAATGAAAAAAAATGTTTTCAAATATGTGTACTTGTCTAATGATGTTATCAAATAAAACTTTAGTCTATCACTAGAGTAGCTGAGTATAACGACTTAGTTTGCAATATTGAGCTATACATTATAGAAAAATCAATTTGCAGAGATAAGTATAAGCTCACTTTCTTTCCACTTATAGATCGTATTGTCATTGCCATGGCCTACAATTCAGCAAATTCTCCAAGTGTCTTCGTTCCTGATAAAACTGCTCTTAAGCCAAACCGATGTTATTTCACGGCATTAAGTGATGAATATAATAATGTTTCAATGCATCAACGAGTTGAACCGATCAATACTCAAATTCTCACATTTTATATTAGTGCTCGAATGGGTGTCAAAAACTTGGGTATGGAGTGGGTTTCAGTCGATCTTTTGATGAAAACGTCCGGTGAAAAGGAATTGGTCAATTCCAAAAATATTCTTCGTAAGTTATTTTTATATTCACTTAAAAACTTTTTTTTTTGTACTACTTTGCAAATAGGAACCAGTTCTTCGATCAAAACATGTGTTCGTCAGTTCTTTCCACCTCCACGCGTATATTTCTGTGATATTTCTGTGAACTTTGAAAGAATATTAGTTAAGAATGGAACGCTAGAAACATTTGGTTATGTCGATGATATTCAAGTATGGGCAACACGAAACATATCAAGATTTGTCAAACGTTCATTACTCAATGCTTGTGATGCATGAAATACTCGAATTTTATTGTCGGTCGTTTCATTTGATTATAAATAAAAACGATTCAAACGATGGACTTGTGAAACTATATTTCGATGTGTACTTTCGAATATAACTGACATGTAGAAACCGAGAGCGCAGTAATGTAT